TACCAACAACTGAGATACATTGTTAATACGACTGCTGAGTAGGGGTTTGTCGTTTGGATAGGTGATTAGTACTCTATCGAACACGCCTCCAATTCCACTGAACAGACAGAATTTCTTACTTACCGATATCCCTTTGAGACTTGCAAGTTCTAGAAGTAGAATTTTTCCTGTTAATCCCTAAAGAAATTCATTTCCATTGACGTCCCTTACGAAGAAAGCGATCCTTTTCAAAGAAAGTGTTCATAGACGTGACTTGCGAATAATTATATACTTTTCCAAAAAAAAAAAAAGAAAAAGAAAGAAAAAAGAAAGAAAGAACGAAAGTATAGGGAAAAGCGAATTAAATGTGACATTTATCAATTTTAAATCAACCTTACGTTACATCATTCGTTCTTTTAAAGTAACAAAAAGGGGATATACTTAGGGAGCCGAAAACATGATTAAAGATTTTCCAACGTGGAAGGAAATGGATTTCTGATACGCGTAATGCTACCCTATTTGGAACTATTACGCGTAAGTCCCCAAGTAAGCCCCCTATATCCATTCACCCCTGGTCGAAATATATTTAGTAGATCACAAAGCGCGCCTCCTTTCGCCTTAGCACCCGTATACAACGTGTTGATAACGTTGGTAAGGAAAGAGAGCGACGTGTATAATTTTGTATCGTCGAAAACTTTTTTTCGATTCAATTTTTATCGAAAAAAATCCGATCAAACTTATAGATTAAAATTTTATTCGCCGGAAATGAAAATGAAAAACTGCTTTGTTGATTTTGTGAACAAAGGCTCTGTGAATATCCGTCAGGTTTGTTACGCAAATTTGTCTACGCAAATTCGATACGTGAAAATCTATATATCGCGAAACCTGTCTCTGCGTGAGAATATTTCGTTAGAAATTAGTTTCTTATTGGACGAGGGGAGGTATCCTCTTCAATACAGTGAGAAAAATCGCTAATTGGTACATGGGAAATATTAACAAACCGCTGCACAAGTGCCGATGATTTACTGCAAGGTTTGATTGAATTCATTCCGTTCTGTTTACCTGGCCTCTCTTTCTCTCTCTCTCTCTCTCTCTCTCTCTCTCT